TTAGTGTGATACCTGGATGCAAAACTCAACTGAAACACTCCCAAATGGGATTATTCTGCAGCACACCTAGAGCACACGTGGGTTTTGTATACCTACGTTTGTGTCAGGGCTAGTGCAGGTCTGGAGGTGACCACACCGTGGCCGGATGTGGCTGTGCCCCAGCCTGGCTGCTGCTGGCCCTGGGGCCACCTCAGCCCTCAGGCAGCTCTGCTGAGAGGGGCAGGAGGTGCACACCCCTCTCCTGGGCTCCCTGTAAGTCTCAGTGTACACAAACACTGTGCTCTATGGAAGTTGGACGTGGCTTTGGTCCTCGGCAGCGATTTCCAACTCGCCCAGGTCCAGATGTAATTAAGATGAGTCAGACGGTTATTTCCAAGCTAAAATTTGTCCTTCCTCAGCCTGAAAAAGCCTTGAGAGCCACTGAGCTCTGGGATGTCAGGCACAAAGCTCTTTGTTAGCACGCTGATGGCTGAAAGGGATGTAGGTGACTCCTGAATTTTGATGGCTTAGAGTGCTTTGGAAGTGAAATTTGGGGATTGAATAGGAATAAAGTGTCCAGGGCAATGCTTGAATATGTTTTCTCTTGTCTATTGTAGACATGTTTTTGATGATTTGTATTTACTCTTAAGCCTTTGAGGTTACAGATCTGTCTTTGTGATGAATCCAATTATGAACTCATCAAAAATGGGAGTATTTTGGGAAAGGAATTATCAGCTTCTGTGAAAGTAACCTGAATATATATTCTTAATTGGCAGCATCTTAGCCCAGATGTTGTTACATATTTGAAGGGAACAATGAATCATAAAGTTGTTTTAAAAAGATTTAAGAAACACCTCTCAAAGGGCACAAGAAAGTCACAAACATTGAATTATCTGTGTTTTTTAACACGAGCAAAATCTCTGTCTCATGACTGGAAGGAGGGTTCAGCTGAGCTGGAGAAGCTGCTCCCCACTTCTGCAGAATGGGTGAAAGGCTTAATGCTTGTGTTTTCCACCAAATCTTGTAATATTTTCTTCACTTGTGCAGCTATCACCATGGGGGTTTTGGCTCTCTGAAGGCTCCACAGCAGTAAGGCAGTGCCAGGTCAGGTCAGACAGCCCAGCCCTGCCTGTGTGTGAGTGCACTGAGCACGCAGGATAGCGTTTCCTTCCTTCTGGCTCAGCAGCCTGTGGTGTTCAGTGAAGACACAAGTGCTCAGGGTCTCCTTGGAGCAGGCTCTTTGTCAGAGAAAGTTCAAACCCAGCCAAGGCAGCTGTTAAATAGATGAGCAGCATCCTCTGGAGGCCTTTCCAGTTGGGGTGGATGAATCTGGAGGAGTTTGAGTGCAGGTCATGAACTCGCAGTTCACCAGACCCAAAGTGCTGCCCACCTGGTCTGGTCACAGGGAAGCTCATGATATTTTCCAGCTGTCTGTGTTGTAGGGAACAGTTCTCACATCTTCACTTGCTTCGGCTCCTGCCGCTGGAGAGCAAATAGTTGGAATGGGATGCAGGGATGGTGACTGGGATTCTTCAAAGCTTTTTTGACCATGGAAATAGCTGTTTTAAAGGTATGAGAGAGAAATAGGTGGAGAGGTGGTGCTATCCTGGTTTTCTGGCTGGGGAAAAAGAGAATTACTTGCCAAAGTCACACTCCAAACTCATGGCCAAGAACAGTAAAGACCTTGGAAAGCCTTGATGATGTTTGTGCCCATCTGGATCCCACCTCAGCTTTGCTCTTCCTGCCTTTTACACTCTGACTCAGCCTGTGAGACAGCCCTGCTCCTCAGATGTTCAGGTTTCTGCAGAACATGCTTGCAGAAAGCTGCAGCAGTCCTGGAGTGACCCCTCCTGCTCTCAAACAGCTCCGTGGTTCCCCTTGTGTGCACAGGGCCAGGTGCTTTTGTTGGCAAACACCCTGTGCCAGGCCCAGCATCGCCCTGTTCTGGGGGAGGCAGTGTGGTTGTGTAGAAGAGTTTCATTTTTCTCTCCTCTGTGAAGGAATTCAGTGTTATTCAGTGGAATCCTCTCTGCAGGTGGAATTTTTGGGCTCTCGGGCTGCAGTGTGTGCCTGCACTTGAAAATTTGGCCCTCGACTTGGAAACAGACATGGGCAAGTTTCAGCTCATTCATCCAAGCTGTCCTTTCTCAAGGACAAGGAGTAGGGCCAGCACAGCTGAACTGCTGCAGCCAACTCCTGATGTTTCCAAATAAAATGCCTTGAGTAAGTTTATTTTTCCCTCTCGAACCTAAATTTAGCGCCCTGGAGAAGCTGCTTTGGCAGCGAGTGGATGGTAACGATGACAAGATCAATCTGTGGATAGTTCTGGGAAGATTTGGAAAGTCCTGGTAAAACAGAGTTGGTTTCATTCATGTTTGCAATTTGTCCACAGCCCAAAGATCTGCTCATGAGCTTCCAATGGTTGAAAGACAAGACATTGACAGCTGCTTTGTTTATGGAGGACAGCAGATGATCCTGACTGGACAGAATTTCACAGCAGAGTCCAAGGTGGTGTTCACAGAAAAAACATCAGGTAAGGCAACTTTTTTTTTCTAGCTTTCCCTGATGGGATAAGGCAAATCCATAGTGACAAATGTCATCCTGAGGTTTGTGCTCATGATTAACGCTACTCGAGTGAGTAATCCCATTCAAGCTCATGTAAGTAAAAGTATGTGAGTAAATTGAGACTTGGGAGCAAATATTTGTGTTATTGGTTCACAAGAATTCATGCACTGGGAATCAGTAGGATCAGGATATGTTATCAGAGAGATGAGAAGAGTATTACATGTTCATCTCTGCTTATTCAGTCTCACATTTAGTGAACACTCTTGTAGAAATCACAACTGAAATGAACATTCTTTAGTGATGTGAACTGCAGGCAAAGATTGTATTTTCTTCCTTTCAGAAGTGTGTGGAGGAAAAGATGTACATAATGTATATTTTTATATCAAAGTAAAATTTTTTAATACACACAAATAAATAGTGGAATACATTACATTCTGTATTTTTTATTGTGAGCTTTGTGCTATTAAGAAGACTTGTTGCTCTGAAGTTTTCTGTCAGTAAACTGAATTAGAGGCAGCACAAGGGATATATCCAGTGACTTGCAAGGGCTTTGAGAGATTGCATCACCCAAGTGAACAGCATGTGTGTGATCTGTGGGTAATGCCTTTGCAAAAAGTAGGAATGGAGCCAAAAATGAATGTATATGGTGATGTAGGGGAAAAAACCACTCTATGGGTCCCAGTTCCTCCTACCCTACCAGCAGCCAGGCTGTTCTGCAGCAGGTATGAAAGGCTCTGAAGAACTGTGAAGGTTCAGCTGAGCCAGTGCAGTCAGAGCAGCTTTCTTGGCACACTGTATTTCCTTGTAAGCCCATGTGTATTAATTCCTTCCCACTGTGCTGCCACTGTTCCACCGATGTCAGTGAGTCGTGAAGGTGCATGGGAACATGCTTGGCAGCCCACAACAGTACCTGTCCCAGAAATGCTCTGCAGTGACTAAAGGAGATGAGACACTCCAAGGAGGTCGCTCTTAATGCCATTTCGAGGAAACACCCGGAACGCCCTGCCCCTATTTCCGTGGGAGAGCAGAGGAGGCTCTGGCTGGAAGAGATGTTAGAAAGTAAAACGAACAACAACGTTTTCCACACTAAATCGAAAGCTTTTCTTCGCTGCTGGGGAAATTGTGGAGGGTTTTTTGTTCTTTTTTTGCCTCCTGGTAGGGGAAAGGCATGGCTGATCCCAGCGGCATGCCCAGGCTGGAGCAGGGATTTGCTCGCTGGTGTTCCATATCCTGCCTCCCCCAGCAGCCCTTGGCCTCTGCAGGCAGTCTCAGTCTGCTTGACTTGGGATAAAGGATTGACAAGAGGGGAATTAGGGGATGGGAGGCCCAGAGTCAAACCCTTGCTCTGAATCAGAAGTCTGTGCAGTTTGCAGTGGGTTATCTGGGGAGCTCTGTGCTGAGTTCTCTGTGTCCATGCACTGTTTCATAATGCAGAGATGCCCTGAAGTGCTTTTAAATGAAAATTGCTGTGTTTAATAGGTGTATCTTAAGGTGAGGGAGGTTGAGAAGCTGAGCTGGATGTGGAGATTGTGCAGGGGCTGATCAGACTGGCTGACTGCACCATAGTGAGGATTCCCCTTTGTGCTTGGGTCGTCAGAGGTTAATGAGTGTTATAAATGAAGGTCTTGTGCACCTGAGACTTTCAGCTTGCCACATGGCACACTAGGCAGTTTGAAACATCACTCTGCTGGCCGTGCCACACGTGTTAGGCTGCAGGAGCAGAGAGCTGGGAGGCCCAGTGCTGTGGCTGGGGATGTCTGTGGGTGGGAGGAGGAGGATCCTGCCTGGGGCAGCTCTCACTCGCTGCAGGTCCTGCACAGCACCCTGCTCAGGGAGCTGAGGAGCTGCTCAGAAGCAGAGTAAGCCACAGTAAGCATCCCAGTGGGTGGACAGCACATCACTGCTGTGTCCTGCTCCAGGTGCTGCCCCAGGAGCCTGTGAAAGGGTTGTGTCTCTGGCAGGCAGGAAGGTGCAGCCAGCTCGCAGGGGAAGCTTGGTTTTCTCTGAGTTTCATTTTAACTGCTCACAAGCCTTGTCTGTGCTAGCAAGTGGTACTGGATTTCCCACTTTTGCCACTGGTTTTTGCTCTGTTGGTAACCAGAAGGGTGAGAGGAGGAGTGTAGGTGACTTTCTAATGGCTTTGGCATGGCATAGTCCATAGAACTCCTTGACTTGCTTCTGCGTCCAGTATTTGAGAGTAGCGAGACCTTTTTCTCCCCAGAGACCTTTCTGCAAGTGCCTTTGTGCAGTGAGGTACTTTCCTGGTAATTATTTCTGGACTCCAAACCCTGGGTCTGTCCTCAGTGTGGCTCAGTGTCTGCAGTGCAGTGGATGCCAAGGAGGTGACAAGCAGTCGCCTTGCAAAGCTGTGGAAACTGCTGTTGAGTATCACAGTTGTAAATTAGGTTTTATCCCCAAGAAGAACACTCAAAACCTATTTCCATTTCCTCTGAATCTTTTAGACAATTCTTCACTCACTCCTAGCATCACAGAGGGATGTAGAACCATTTATATTTGTGGCTGAAACACAATGAACAGCTTTTTTCTGTCTGTCTCACGGCAATACAAATGTATACTTCTCTCTAGAAATACCTGGAAAATAAAGACTATTCCCCAAATGTGAACATAAGTGCCTTGCATCACACAAGCCACAGGCTGTGGCACTGAGCTCAGCAGTGAGAGGCTATGAAAGTCTCTCATTTTAGGCTCAGGGCAGGAAACAGCAGCAGGAAGCGAAGTGAAGGGGCTGGAGCTCAGCGCTCTGAGGGGACAGAGTACTTGTGTCTGAAATGGTGATGCATAAACAGCATCAATTTTCTTAATGGTAAGGTTTATCAGCATGTAAGCTGTAGAGTTTTGTGCTCTTTCTAAGGTGGTGGGAGATTGTTGTCTGTAGCTGCTGCGAGCCAAGGGGAGTCACGAATTCGGTACAGTCAGCCCAGCACACACAGAGTTCAACTGGAGGAGCTTGAAGATCTGAGCTCAGTGACACGTAGCTGAGCCCAGCTCAATAAAAGTGGGTCAGGGGAAGCATCTAGATTGGATTGTGCTGATAGAAATGTTTGAAGTGCTTGTATTCATTTAATTTTGATCTGAAAGAGAGAGCTTGAAAAGCAGTTTTACAGCTATCAAGGATTTGGAATATGCTGAAGGTCAAGTGTGTTAGTGTTTGGTTGGGGCCCAGATCTTACAGTGCAGTTAAAAAAAGATTCGGAATTCCCCCTTTTTATTTGTTTTAATTGCCATGTAATAATTTGCAAGTCAGATGTTGTTGGTTGCATTGTGTTTACTCCCATTTGTGTACTGGTTACTGCTGCTCTGCTGTCAGTGATAGAGGAGTTTCGTGTTTCTCCAGGAGAAGAGTGCAAATGGACTGTGATTTCCTCTGCCAAACTCTTATGGTGGCCACATGGACATCATGAATCATCGCTAGGACAATGTGGGTGGTGGAGGAACAACCCAAACAGAAAGAGTCCATCCTTGGAGTGGATCCACCATAAATCTGTCCGTTGGGCCAGGCAGTGGAAGGAGGGGAGGTGGTGCTTGCTGTGCCCTTTGAACCGAGGCAGCTGCCAAGGCCCTTCCAGGGCCATGTGACAGAATAAATCTATCCAGCTCTAGATTCAGGCAATGGTGCTTTTGAACATACCTGAGTGTCTCCTGGTTTCAGGAGAGCTCACCATGGGCAGGATGAGCACTCTCATGTTCAGTATGGCAGTGGTGAGCTGAGGATTCCATCTGCACAGTGCTCAGAATGCCATGTCTGAACAGAGGCATTTGCCTCCATTCCCTAGGAACAAACCACATGTGCAGTGGGGACCAAGACCCACGAGTCCTTCAGGACAATTCACTACAAAATCCATGTTGGGATGGCACTATGCCATGTGTAATGTGAACAGAAGGTGACTTGGGTCCTGGTTGTGGTGACAGTGAGGAGCCAGGGCTGATGGTCATGTCCTTTGTGGGAGAGGTAAAAGGAAATTCTAAGTCTGTCTACAGCAATGTTCTCCTTTTCTCTTGTGTCAAGTCTGAAATTTTGTACCATGCCCCAAACAGGGAACTAAATCCTCGTTAGTAGTCTGACAATTTCATGAATGATCCAAAAACTCCTGGGGAATGCAGAAAATAGCAAACTATTTTCAATAATTAGCTCTGTGAACTGCAATGTTAATGATGCAATTTTCTCAAGCAAATTAAAGATTTAAAAAAAGACACAAAAAGCTTCTTAAAGAAAACTGTCACTGTTTTCCCAGATCCATCCAAAAGAGATGTTTGCTATTTGACCCAATACGCAGCTCTCAGTATTGAATGCAAGCACTGAGCTCCCACTGATTTTCTAAACTGATGAACTTAAGGTATGGAGAACTGAGAGGAACAGGACTTCTCTTCCACCTAGGCTCATAACTCAGGCACAGAATCAATCCACTGCTGAGCATGCATCAAGTGTAGGTTTAGAGCAACTTACCCTGAAATAAAGGCCCAGCATCTGGGGAGAAGAACCCAAACTATGGTTTGGGGTTTTTAATGGGAAAGGCTAAGGAAAAAAAGCACAAATATCTGGGAATAGTTAGAGCTAGCCAAACTGAGAGTGGTACTGTCATCTGTAATGATTCAATTTGTTTGCAGTATGTGAGGTTCTACAGGAAGTATATGAAATGAACTTGTTATCTTGCTGTTTTCCTGATAGTTTGGAAAGAGCACGTTCCCTGCTCCACACAGTTTGTGGCCGTGGTCCAGCATGTAAAGCTGGATGCATTTCTCCTCCACCCTGAACCTGCTGGGTGAAGCAGGGGAGCAAACCACAGATGTCTGTCTGGAGGTGCACCTGGTTTTTGCATTAGCTGAAGGGGATCACCTCCCAGGCTAATCTCCTCATGCCTCACAGTGCAGCAAAGTGAGCTCAGGGCCTGCTCAGGAGTTCTCTCTGCAAGAAGGTGTCCCAAGTGGGGGAGGATCAGGGCAGTTTTG